TTGTATGGAATTGAAAAAGACACCCAAAAGCAAAAAGACCAAAGGAAGGAAGGAAGAACGAAAGAAGGAAGGAAGGGAGGGAGGAAGGAAAGAAGGAAATCTCGAGCAAGAAGAACAGAGCTGGAGACATCACAATACCTGATTTCAAGCTACATGACAAAGCTATAATAATCAAATCAGTATGGTACTGGCATAAAAATAGGCACATAGATCATTGGACCAAAATACTGTCCAGAAATAATCACCCACATATATGGTCAAGTTTATCTAATTTTTTAAAAGAGTCCCAAGAACACACAATGGGGAAGAGCAGTCTAATAAATGATTCTGTGAAAACTGAATATTCACATGCAAAAATATGAAACTGGATCTTTCACTACTCACAAAAATTAACTTGAAGATTTAAATGTAAGACCTGAAACAATAAAACTTTGAAGAAAACAGGGGAAAAGATCCTCGGCATGTGTCTAGGCAATGATTTCTTGGAGAAGTCACCAAGAGCACAGGCAACAAAGATGAAAATAAACAAGTGGGACTATATTAAACTAAAAAGCTTCTGCACAGCAAAGTAAACAATAATTAAATTAAAAAGTTACCTACAGAATGGAAGGAAATATTTGCACACCATATTTATGATAAGAGACTAATATCCAAAGTATGTAAAGAAGCCGTCTTTGGATCTGAGATGGTGGCGGGGTAGGGAGAAGTTATACTCACCTCCTCCCAGGACCTAAACCAGAATTACAACTAAATTACAGAACAACCAACCTGAATAACCAACCCGAGACTAGCCGAACAGAAATCTCATAACTTAGGATTTACAGAAGAAGCCACGCAGAAACTGATACGAAGGGTGGAGCTGCAAAAAGGACTGGCCCCACACCCCAATGCAGCAGCTGAGAATAGGGAGGGACAAGCTACCTTCCACAAGTCACGTACTACCAGAGGCTCTTTCAGCCACTGAGCCTAACAAGCAGCCAGCAGGTGGAGGCAGGTGGAGGCAGGTGGAGGCATTAGGCCAAGTGCAGTAAGTCAGACAGGGAAAGACAAGTAGTATATCATCTCACATCTAAGTGAACCGAAAAGAACAGAAAGAAACTGAACTCACATATGGAGAGAACAAATCAGTGACTATCAGAGGCAGGGGTTGGAAGGCGATGAAATGGGCCAAAGGGGTCAAAAGGTACAAACTTCCAGTTTTAAGTCTTGAGGACCTAATGTGTGGTATAGTGACAAAAGTTACCAATACTCAGTTGTTGTTCGAGAGTTGCTAAGAGAATACATCTTAAAAGTTTTGAACACAAGGGGAAAAAAGTTGTAATATATGAGGTAATGGACGTTAACTTATTTCACAATATTTACATATATCAAATCACTATGTTGTATACTTGAAACTCACATGATGCTGTGTGTCAATTTATCTCAATAAAAATGTTAAATTAAAAAAAGGGCAAAATGGGGGGACTGAAATGTAACAGTGTTGATAATTGTTGAAGTAATTCAGACTGAGTTTGATAATACTATTATTTCTATTTTTGTAGATATTTTACATTTTTTTCACCAAAAAAGTTACAGGAAAACTTTAGCTGTCTCCAGAATGGATTCGTATAAGTTACTGATTGAAACTACACTAAACACTAAAAGTCAGTTCAACATCAAGGCAATGTTTGTCAGGGCGAAAAACTTCATCGTGTAATTACATTGACACATAATATGTAGTGTCCTATGTTTGTAATAAAAAATTCCCTGTAATGAGAAATGGTTGTAAAGTTTTGTGTTATATTTCCTGAGATAAGATGATTTTTAACTGGACTAGTGGGTAATTTTTAAATTGTAGCTCAAAAAGTTTGGTGATAGATTTCTCTGAATACATAGAAAGCCTATTTAATCCTTTTGCTTTCATAGGAAAACAACCTTAATAGACAGTAGAGCTGGCTCCACGTACGTGGGGAAGCACACGGCTCATGTGTGCATCTGGCAGAACCCCCAGTACAGAGAAGAGCAGGTGTTGTTTCCCGACGACACCTACTTGCGTGTGTCCTAATACTATAGTTAGAAAATGGCTCAGATTTTTAGTTGTTTTTCCCAGAACTCAAAGATCTTCTTCCTGTTTATCTTGGTGGTATGCCTATACTTGTGATTTTTCTTTTCCCTGTAACATATTAAAACGAGATTTTCAGATGAGGAAACAAGAGGTCACTAGTTAACAATCAGATATTTGATTTCCTAAGCAGAACAGATACTCTCTTAGAGAGTTTTTAACATATTTTTGAAGGATAAATAGGTCTAGTCCCTTTAAGGTAAATTCTGTTCACTGGATTTTCTTCAAGTCCTCATTTCCTCATTTAACTCTATTGCAGGCAATCTGAGCTTTGCCTCTATCTTTTAGCAAATTTCTTGTCGGTTCCTAGTGGTTACTGCTTTATAGTTTAAACATTGCCAGAAGAGCAGAGGGAAGCCAAATAGGTGCTCAATTAGCTTTACTCCCAGTTGGTGTGATGAGAAAAGGATAGCGCTTTTACTTTAACTCATCCTTTAGCTTCTAGAAGAATTGATTCGGCTGGGGGTGGGGGGGCAAGAAAAAATTTGTAATAATTGTGGCTATGAGAGACAGAAGCCTTTGTTGTCCCCAGAGTGTTAGGTAACAAGCCTAGTGTTACTGATCCTGTAACTAAAAGGGAGGGACACCAATTGTCTTGATCGTTTCATTTTCTGTAAATGGGCTTAGTAATAATATCAGTTCAGAGTTTTGTTACGAGGATTACATGAGTTACTATTTGTAAAATGCTTAGGACAGAGATTGGAACACAGTGAGCACCTTGTGTGAATCCTCTGTAACACTTGCAGAGCAGAGACGGTAGGTAGTGGAGTTCAGAATCTTTTCGGAGAGTTTGTCATTGGCTGTTGCATTGGTGGCATATGGTTTGGTGAAACCTCACTAATTGCAAATTAGTTCACAGGTTCTTAAGCCTGAATAAGTAAAAATTCTGAAATCGAGTCTTCAGAAATATCTGAAATACTTTATATGTGACTGTTCTATTCATGAAAACTTTGTGTCATATTTGATTAAGTATTTTCAAGATACTCATGTTCAGTCTGTGATTTTGTATAATTAGAACAAAAGAAAAGCTAAAATAAAGGTTGTGATATGAACATTTATCCTTTTAAGTAGCTATCAATGAAGATACATGAAAAGAGCATAGAGATGTAAATACCTAAGTAGTAACTGTTAAAGGAATTCTTGGCCTACTTTTTATTATCTACAAATAACTAAGAAAAACCAAGTGTTTGTGGGACACTTGTGTAGTAAAAGAAGGCCTAAGGAGTATTAGATTTTACTTGTATTGGAATTATACCTTACATGATGTACGTACATAAAAAATGCTTTAAAAATTTACTTTCCTAGGCAACTTTTAAGGGTTCCTAGATTTTCTGGGAATCCTGATTAGTGCAAAGGGCAGGGCTAGCAGTTCCTTTTTCTTTGTTACCATCCTCTCTCTTAGGGTACCACTCCCAACTCTACATTGTCATTGTTTATGTGTCTGTCCTGCACTGGACTGGATATCTCCTGTGTGCATGTACTGTAGCATAACCACTTCATTTGTGTGCCAAGGACAGTTTGGCACGTATTAAGTACAGCTCTGGGAAAGCTGTATACACCGCTGAGACAGATCCAGGTCTTGATTCTTTACAGAAAGTTGGATTTTAGTTTGGTTTGGAATTTGAAGCTGTATCTTACTTACCTTGGTCCCCCAGAGGACAAGCTAATTGATATTACTGTCATCTTTCACCAGGTAGTGATACTTTCACCAGTATCACTAGACACTGCTTATTACAGAGCAGAATTTAATGACAGCTTGCAGTTCTGTATGGTTGAGGAAAAGTTTTGTTTTCAGATTCAGGCTAGTTTTTAAAAAAAAAAAAAAACAAACTCTACAAGGCGGTTATAATAATTCCTTATATTCTTTGGCCTTTGCCCTACACATTTCAGCTTTTGTAAGTGTGCAAGGCTCTTACTCATATATAGCATTCAGGACTGCTTTGCAGTCTATTCAGATGACACACAAGCCTAGCACAGCACTGTCCACATTAGCTGGTGTTCAATACAGATTTGTGAAAATCCAAAACCACAGCCTTTTTTATTCTTAAAATAAATGACACGAGGAAAGAAACACTCTTTGCTTATTTTGGTAAGGTGTTTATATTCTGAAAAACAAAAAATTGCATTCATCAGCATAGCACAGATTCTGTTCAGTGATTTTTTTTTTTTTTAATTTAGAAAGTCATTAATGTAGTGATGCTCGTTTACCAAATCCAGCTCTCAGGAGTGGTTCGATCAGACTGAATTTAAGTGTCTGAATGCGGAAATTGCAATGAGCATTGATTATTTTTACTTGGTAGCCCAATTTTTCTTTGCGAGGTTTCAAACTTCGCAGGATTTCACAGGGTTTTAAAATGGTAAAAAAATACATCAAATTTCAATACCTTTAAATTACCAAACGGGGCACAAGAGCTTGGATTAACACCGCAGCAATACTAATTTTTGCTTTTCACCATTTTAGACCTTGCTGAAATAGAGGCTTGTATGAGAGTATGGAAAAAGCAGCTTCGGAATCTGACGAGTTTAACGCCTGGAGTCAGTCCCAGTTCTGCGTGAGACTGGCCAGCTTGACTTCTCTGAATTTCCGTTTCCTTCCAGGCAAAACGAGCACTGCAGGAGGCACTTTGCAACCCAGTGCAGAGCGCGCCTCCAACACACTGCTCCGTTACACGGAGAGCAGCCATCTTACCATATCGAGTTCGGGGCCGCGCTCTCCCGGCAGGTGGAGGGAGCGTCCGCCTAGCGCGGCCGCGGCGTGGAGCGGCCACGCCCTCCTACAGCTCGCGGGCCCGCCCCTCGGCGCCCGCGCGCAGGCTCCGGACGCCGCCGGCCGAGCGCCTGCGCGCGGCCCCGCCCCCCGGCCCGCCCCGCCCCCGTCCTCGCGCGCCCCCCGCCCGGGTCGCGGCGGGGCCGTGGTGTACGTGCCGAGCGCGCAGAGCGAGTGGCGCCCGGACGCCCTGCGCTCCACCACAGGCCGGCTGGGTGCCCGGGACGCGGAGGCGGCCAAGGAGGCAGGTCTCGCGCGCCCGAGCGGAGGTCGCCGTCCATCGCGCAGGCCGCGTTCCCTCGGCCCGCGGGGGCAATGAGGCGCTGAGGCGGCAGCCGGCGCTGCGCTGCCGGACCCGAGGACTAGGCAGCGGCCAGGCCGACGGCGGGGAGCCGGCCTTCCTCAGGCGAGGAGCGGCGGGTGCATGGCGCAGTGACGGGCCCTGCCGCTCTGCCCGCTCCCCGGTCCAGGGCGAGGCCGTCCGGCCGTCACCCCTCCTGCTCGGCCGCCGCCATGGCCAATGACAGCGGCGGGCCCGGCGGGCTGAGCCAGAGCGAGCGAGACCGGCAGTACTGCGAGCTGTGCGGGAAGATGGAGAACCTGCTGCGCTGCGGCCGCTGCCGCAGCTCCTTCTACTGCAGCAAGGAGCACCAGCGTCAGGACTGGAAGAAGCACAAGCTCGTGTGCCAGAGCGGCGAGGGCGCCCCCGGCCACGGGGCGGGACCGCACCCGCACGCCGGCCCCGCGCCGGCCTCCGCCGCGCCGCCGCCCAGGGCCACCGGGGCCAGGGAGGCCCGGAAGGCGGCGCCGCGCCGGGAGAGCGCCGCCGCCGCTGCCGGGGACGCGGCCAAGGCAAAGGCCAAGCCCGCGGCGGCCGCGTCCCCGCCTCGCGCGGCGCCCGGCGGCCGGGACCCTGCGGCGGCAGCCGAGGCGGAGGAGGCGCTGGGCCGCTCGTCGCTGTTCCAGGAGAAGGCGAACCTGTACCCGCCGAGCAACACGCCGGGCGAGGGGCTGAGCCACGGCGGCGGCCTGCGGCCCAACGGGCAGACGAAGCCGCTGCCGGCGCTGAAGCTGGCGCTGGAGTACATCGTGCCGTGCATGAACAAGCACGGCATCTGCGTGGTGGACGACTTCCTGGGCAAGGAGACCGGGCAGCAGATCGGCGAGGAGGTGCGCGCCCTGCACGACACCGGCAAGTTCACGGACGGCCAGCTGGTCAGCCAGAAGAGCGACTCGTCCAAGGACATCCGAGGCGATCAGATCACCTGGATCGAGGGCAAGGAGCCCGGCTGCGAAACCATTGGGCTGCTCATGAGCAGCATGGACGACCTGATCCGCCACTGTAACGGGAAGCTGGGCAACTACAAAATCAATGGCCGGACGAAAGTAAGTGCGTGCTCAGCTCCTGCCCGCGACGGGAGCCGCCTTGGGCGAGGAGCGCGGTGTCTCTGTAGAAAAGCGATCTTTTTGTGCAGCACCCCGTTAGGAGAACGGATGGAACCCATCAGGTGTTTATCTAGTCAGACTCTTTGTGTCCAGTTTTCCACCTACTGTTTGCAAACTCCTCCGTCTACTTGCATAGTTTTCTAGCTGAACTTAGGGCCCTCCCCTTAACACATCTCTCCGTCCCTCTCTGTCTCGCTCTCTCTCGGTCCCCCTCTCTCTCTCTGCACTATTCAAACGTGGTTGGAGTTTTAGCCGCCCAGCGGGGGGTATTAAAGTACTGCCCCGGCGAGCTGGTTCTGCATCTGCCCGGTGCCTGCACTCGCTCCTCCGCTCTCTGGTCTCTGAACCAGTCGTCAGGTTCTGCCCTACGGAGTGGAATGCTCTGCTCGGTTAAGACTGGGCCCGCTGACCCCAAAAAGGTGAATTTAAAATAAGCAGGTAGCCCAAAGCGTCCTCATTTCTGGGAGAGCGTGGCTGCTCCCCTCCCCCTCACTCGGTCCCTGCTGTTTGGAAACCCACCACACAGCGGGGAAAGGAGTGTTTCCGTTTCCAGACCTCTCAGTGTAGGTGGGTTACATTTTTAGCATAGGTTTCCTTTATTTGCTTTGTGAATCCCTTTGTTGAAAAAGAACTGTTTTGTAGCTTCCTGGGGAAAGAAGAAACAGGGAACTGGAGCAGGAGTGAAGGCTCCTTTGGTGAAATTGGTTTTCTCTATCCTGTTGTAGTTTTCCCCCAACCGATTCTTCGGTCTCTACCTACTGATGCCGTCTGCCTCTTCGGTATGATGCGCAGTAGACTCGTTCTTCCTTGATCTTCTCTTGCAGTCCTTTGGCATTTTCCTTCCCAGATCTTCATATGCTCTTCGTTTGCAGTCCACGTTCGTTTCACGAGACTCCGCTCCACCCTCCTCCTCCATCAGTCTCTGTCTGATACTGTGAATTTTGAGAGCTTATCTTAGGATATCATCACACCTTTGGGTGTTTATACATACACACTAGCTCTTTCCAGTAGTTCTGTGTGTGTGTGTCAGACCGCCTGTTTGGTACTTGTTACCGATGACTCTCAGAGTCCGAGAGGCTGAGCATAGGCAGTTAAGAAAGTTCTAAACATGAATGTTTTGTGGGGACAAAGCGCAGTGTGAAGTTGGATGTACATGCTGTCGTTTCATTGCTGGATGAAGGCACATGTCTTAATATCATAATTAAAAATATCAGTCTCAAAAATGAACAGTTGCTCTGCAATAAGCTGGAAAAATAAAGGGGGCTTGATTCAATCTCAACCTCGGTCTTTGATAAGACTTTCATTGCTATATCTCAGAGTAACTTTGTCTGAAATATGAGTGTAATCTAGACCCTTAGAGTAGGAAAGGATCTAGCTTGAGGGAATATTAATATTAATATTCTGTGAAGACTGACCAAACTGTATTGTTGGGGCATAAGCTTAAGGTGAAGTCATGAAGAAGGCAGTGTCCGAAGTCCTCCTTGATCTGCTTTACACCTGTCCTTTTCAGGAAGGGACAGCAGTCAGCCCGTCTTTTACAACCATTGCTTCTCAGAAAGTGGCTGTTCCTTCCTAAGATGCTGAAAGAACAGTCGTTTAGGTCTTAAATTATTTGACTGCACATATCATTATGTGATAAGGGACTAGCTGAAGGAACTCTTTAAACTCATTAGGTTTGATTTCATACTTAGAATAATTGTAAGGACATAATTTTAGGATCTATAAATGATCTTAGGAAATCCTTTTCATTGTACGTCTTGTCTGAGAGACTTTGTTAATCATGCATGTTCAATTCAGTAATGTAACTATTCCTAAAAAAAGCTCACAGATGCTTGCTTTGGGGGAATGGGCAGGGTGTCAGATCACCAGCCACCATACAGGGGTGGGCAAAGGAGCATGACTGAGGCAGAAACCCTGGAGAGAGGCAGAAGGTGGGTATTATGTGTGATTGCAGAGATGGTCTTCATTTAAGAATTTTATTTTCCTTTACAACATGATGGTGATTTAAAAAGTTACTTGTGTCAATGTGTAGTATTTTTCCCACAGGTTTCCACAGCAACTCTGTAAAATAGATAGATTGTTGCTGTGTTATCCCTGTTGATAGATTAGAAAAGTGAGCCACAGGAGACTGAGTTCACTTGTTACAAGGAAATCATGTAGCATACCAGGACTCAAATTCAGGTTTCTGACCAAGATTCTGATTTTTTTTTTGTTTTAATTTATGTTATTCTGTTTGGTCTTTGTGTATGTCAGCGCTTGATAATCAGATGATACATAACTGGCTGTGGCTCATTCGGTGTAGGCTTTGATTTCCCCCAAGTTTCTACTTCAGGCATGCTTATCTGGCCACAGATTGTCCAACTACTTGAAAAGCGGAACTGCAAGGCAAGAGTAAAGCAATACAGGAGGAGAATGGGAACACGGTTATAGCCGCTGATGTAACTGAGCTCATTCTACTTTCTCTGGTTGTTTTGGGGGATTCCCCCCTTTTGCTCTTATTCTGCCCTTTAATCCGTGATCCTTTCTCACACCCTTTCTTCCATCATGAAAACTTGCAGTGATGTCCAGTAGGGAGGAATCATGGTCTGCTAATTTGTGAAGAGCAGTGTTCTGTAAGAAATCATAGGTGTCTTTACTTGCTGGTAGAGGAAGATAGGAAGACAGAAGACTAAGGATCATGAGAAAGTGTCAAACTATTACTCAGTTGGAGATTATTAGCCACTGTAAAGGAAAAAAAATGTTAAAAACACAAATCATATACATATTTTTAGATTTTTATTCAAAGCTTTATGTTGCTCAGTTAAGATGTACATAAGAAAAGGAGTTATAAATTAGGTTGAGACCTATATGCCACAGATTTTCCTAAATTTTCTAGGAAAAATTCCTAAAATTTTTCACTTACTACTGTAGTTAATTACTCAGCTCTGGCTGAGTAAGGCTTTTAGAGCAAAGAATAGGATGAGGAAAATTCTTTGACTTTATTATCACTCCTGTAGAGGCGGTGGTTACAGTCCTCTTAGATGTTACAGAGAAAACCAAATATAACTTCCTTCTGAGTCTACTTCTGCCATACTCCTGGCATCCAGGATGTACAAATTGAAGCAGCCTGTTTAATGTTTTAATGGCTGTATCAGAATTCAAGATCACAGTCAGGTATTCTGTGTGCAGAAAGGCTGAGAATATTGGTACTTCAGTGGTTTTTACATAGTGCTTTAAAATTTAAGAGCTACATGTGGACTGAAAAGAGTCTTAATAGTTTGTGGCTAAACCAAGTTCAGCTTTTAAAGGAAAACATGTTGTATAGTGAATTAGTTTACATATAAGGTAACTCCTTTAATTTTAAAGGCATTTAAATTAAAAGAGGGGTTTGTGGGGTTTTTTTGTATGTTTATAACTCTTCGCTTACCTGCAACCTAATAAGCGACAAAAATACCTGTGAAACCGTAGTCACAGGAGGACATCTAAATGTAGGATAGTGGACTTTGTGCTACTGTTAGATCTGGGTTGGATCCTGGATCTGCCACTGTTTCGGTGTCCTTGAGCCAGTTACTTAACCTTCTGGGCCTCAGTTACTTCATTTGTAAAATGGTGTTAAATGATACCTGTCTTCTGCCCCTCAGTTTGCTGTGAGTACATATGTGTAAAAGCACTTTTTAAATTATAAAGCACTGACTCCTCTCATTTAAAATTTTTTTTCTTTCCCCTTACTCTTTAAGAGTTCTGTGATTTTCCTGTCTTTCTCCCCCTTATAAAGCTGGAGGAAAAAAGAATGATCACCCATTTTTGACCTAACTGCTTCTCTCTCACACACACACTCACTCTCTCTCTCCCCCCCCCACTCCCCCCTTTCTCGCTCTCTCTCACTCCCCCCCCACCTCTTTTTAAAACAGTAAATAAGTCCCAAAGAGGTTAAGTGAGTTGTTCAAGGTCATAGTGATGGTTAGTGACAAAACTGACCAACTGACGTTCGATTAAGTTCATTCTTATTTCTGTAACTTTATGTTCCATCAAATGTAAAACTTGCTTATTTCCGTTTCACTAATTTTGGTTTATTTTATGCTATTTTTTAAGATTGTTTGAACATTTGTGACTTCCTTTTTCTTCTCCAATTTACTCCTATCATTTTGTACTTTGGTTTATTTGATATTCTAGTTTAAATTTTCCTCCTTTAGATAATTTCTTCCTAATATCCCTAGATGTTCTGTATTCACTTTCTTCCCTTCCTTCAACATTAAAGCCATTTTTCCTGAAACAGGTCTAGTCCCTTGTTTCCTGAACAGGAACTTTCTGTTGTGTTTCTGTTTTACATGTTTGTTCTCTGTTTTCCTCTATTAGCCTTGAAATCTGCCCTTGTTCATCTCCTATGTTTTCTGATGCCTCTCTCTTTCTGATAGTCCTTTGGATGGACGTCATCACCTTAGTTTTTATTTCATTTTTGGCTCTAGTCCTTTCACGTGCCACCAAATGTTCGAGGCTCCCTTTTATTTGAGCAGATTCTTAAAAAGAGCTTTCATGGATGCATTTTACTGTGCTTGCATTCTACCTCCTTTTCCACTATGCCCTTGGTTTTGCACTTGAAACATTGTTAACTATAGGATGGCATTCAGATCATTTATTGAGCCATATTCATAGCTTGTCTTTGACTCTTATTCCAGCTAAAACCTTTCTGTTCTAAAAAGCAAAAGGAAAGAAACAAACAAAAAACTGATAGATGGTTAACCAAAGTCTTGACCCCTTACAATAGATTATTTCATGCCTGTATTTTCTGTTCCAAGGTCTGAACTGTTCTGCCACCTTTATCAGAATGTTTTGTACTTCATTATCATACTTTTCCAGAACCAAATTGAAGTTTTATTTTTTAAGAACTTGGATAGCATCTGTAGCCTCTGTTTGCTTATTAAAATGACCATAAAATTTTCAAGTGTTTGGAATTCTTATTT